AGTTCATTTTGCAAAACGGTATTGTTGATACCAGCGATCAGCCGATCTTTCAATTGCATGCCCAGTAAATTTCCAAAATCACACTTTGCAGCTTGAGTGAGCAAATCCACGATGAATTCACGGATGCCCTGATTCGGATTGCGTACCATTGAATGAAATTTTGCTCGTTCTGAGGCTTCAAAGTTCGTTGGCTTCACATGCTGGAGGAGGAGGGATTTTAAATCATCGTACGGTACGAAAACAGGTGGAGAAGGATAAGCCAAGTTTTTGATTAATGTATGAGCATTTTTACCGTCAGTGTTCAAAAAGAAAGCGGATTTCTTTTCCTCGTCGGACTTTAAACGGTCAACCACTAAATCTCAAAACGTTCAAAATAATCCTCGATATCGCGTGCACTGCAGTTAAGATCAAGAAATTCTGGGGGTGTAGAAATCATTGTTCAGTAGACCGGCCGCGACGCCAAATGTAATATTTGGAATGGGATTCAAAATGGGATTCCAGAATTCGCGCAATACCAACCCCCGAAATAGAACACCTTCGAGTAGAATAGCACTTGAACTTTATTCGAATCGTATACTATGCATATTCAATGCATTTAATGTGTAGAAGGAATTTTGAGGTCAGTGTCACACATCACAGAATCCCGAATTAAAAACACAATTGTTCCGCAATGTTCTGCGGTATTGAATTAACGAAATCATTACAAAATGTACAATAAAGCAAACCTCAAATATGCGGCCAAAAGCACTCAAACAAGCGAGCCAAATAAGATGTCCACAGAGAGGCAAACAGTCGCTCCCGTTCTCAAACCATGCCAAATTCAAATGTGCCGGGCATCCAAATTAACAGATAAATAATGATGTGTGGTGTTCGTGATCGGGAAATGTCAATATAAGAGCAACACACAGATAAAGTTATTTCATCATAAATCATTATGGGTTCGGAAGGATTTTCAAAAAATTCAGCATGAAATACACCCATCAATCACCAGTTTCTGTTGGGACTGTGCTAGTGCATCCGGCGCCTTGATCAGTTGCTGATCTTCATCTATGATGGCTCCCGCACTCCTGTACACACCGGCTATAGTTGCGCAGTTTATCCTAGAAAGGAGTGAGATAGCACACATTTGTATATTAGATGTGTAGACTTCTGTGTCCAATCGCTTCTGGGGGTTTCTTTGCGAATGAAAAGGACTACTCCTCCACCTTGCACTTGCCTCCCTCGATCCCGTCTATGGATCTCAAAGCTGTTTGGGGTAGTATGTGGTATGTGGTCGCTTTCATGTAACCATGTTTCAGAGATAACAATCACTGCAGCTTTGAGTTTCACAGATGCAACCCCGAAGTCTGCCCACTTATTCCGGATACTGCACGCATTTGCGCATAGCATAACTAACTTTTCCGGAATTGGGCATTTTAAGCCCCCTACTCTTTCTTTGGTCTTGGACGCAGCGCCTGAGCTGTGAACCCGTTTTTTGATGGGGCAGTTTTGGTCATTGTCCTGCGTCTTCTAAGTTCGGAGTCCGTCGGTTCTACCATGGACGTTCGCCGCAGTGGTGTGGACGTTTGAACAATTTTCTGTTCATCTTCACTTACCGACCTGCTCGGAAAGTAAGTCTTCCGTTCCTCTTCTTCCATTATATCTGCTATAATCATCACCCCGTTTCTGTAGGGAGTGCTTGTCGCCAGCTGCGTACCCTGGTTACTGACCCTTCTCTTGGACCCTTTATACTCTACTTTCCCATGCGGCCTTGGGCTGTCCGGAGCTATGCGGTAGCGCAATTTTGTGCGCT